TTTTATATTATTTATATAATTTCTTTACTTTTGAATTTTGCTATCTTATATAATTTTTTTAAAACCATTTTACATTGACTGAATTTAATTCTAACTTTTTTATTATGACCTTTGATTCATCTTAAGATACCTAACATATTTTGATATCTACTTCTGTCCAATAAAATGTGTTAGATATTGACTTTGTTATGAATGAAATTAAAATGAATGCCTCGTTTATTTAGATGGTATTGAAACATTGCACCGACAAAAGATGTTCAGATTTCCAATTATTTGATAAATGTTAGGATTTTCAAGTATTTGCAATCCAAAATAATTATTAAAACTTGCTTTTTTATGAGAATCCAAAATAAAAGAATAAAATATATGTATTTTGGAAAAATTTTTGATGATTAAAAAATAATATTTTTATTGGTCTTATTAACTAAAATTGTTTTTTCAATTTTATATTCGGTCTATCTCTTCGATGAGTTATAATCCAAAATAATAATATTTATATCTATTTATTTTAATTATTAGTTTTATAAAAAAGACTTGCTCAAATTACTAAATATTAGCGTGTATTGAAGTGTTTTAATGAATCCTTTGCAATATCCAAAAGATATTTTGAGAAGAATGTCAAAGATTTAATGTGAATTTCCAATTATAAAAGTTACACTAATGTAGAGAAATAATTAGATAAATTTAAAAGAATTGAAAATAGGATTTCTTCAAAAGTAAGTTAGGGGAATCTGGTAAAAGCATATCTTTCAACCAAGGCTGTTAGCATCACAAATAGACTTATAATAGAAATTGAATTAGAGAACCGATTATTTATTAAGTGAATCATTTGGAGAATATATTGATTGAATAATTTCCATGTGATTTATAGGAAAAAAGTGATTAATAATGTTTGGCTACTTTGGGAGGTTTAAGAAAAGGTTGAGACAATGCTTTAATTTTTATTTATTCTAGTGTATATAATGAGTCTAAATAATTAATTTGACAAAATAATCATAGAAATTATATTATATACTACTAAAGAGGTAAAAAATACATATTAAATAAAAGCTTAAATCCTATTACAAAATCAACTATTAATAAGATTTGGATTCTGCTGAATTAAATCCTAATTATTATAAGCTTTATTGCTTAAAAGGTTCAATAATAAATTTAATTTGAAAGCATAAATTCTAATAATATTAAATCACTTATAAGATGCTTTAGAAAGATGTGAAGGATATTACATTAAGGCTGCTAAAATTTACTAATTATTAGCTTGTGGTTTATGATAAATAATGTTGAATTAGATATAAATTTGAAAAATCAGTTTTAAGAAGCACTCGAGTATTCGGATTATGGATTTAAATAGATTCTTTTATTTGGATATCATACTAATAAAAAGGCTTATAAGATTGAATATAAAAAATTATAAAGAAGCTTTGAAATTTATCAACGATTCTATTCAAAAGAATCCTGAAGAATTAAGAAATTTTATAAATAAAAGGTTAAATAGTATTTGATTTGATAGCAAAAATACTAATTCTTAATCATATATTAGCTAATTAAAAGCAACATAAAATTATCTTATAAGTTTAGATGATGCTATTAAAATAAATCCTTCATAAAATTATGCCTATGATGAAAAATGTAAAATAACTTCAGGTATGACATTATTTTTTAATGGGGCGTTTAGATGAAGCGCTTGAATACATTAAAATTGCTATTTAAATTCAACCTGAAGACTCATTTTTATTTAATAACAAAGGTATTCATATTTCAATAGCATTTATTTTACACTGTTTGAGACATTACACTGAAGCAATTTCTAATTAGGAAAATGCCATAAATTTATGATTTCATAGAATCTCTAGAATCATAATAATGTACATCTAATAACAAATAGCAAATATTATATATTGGAAGATTTATAATCGTTAATTAAGATATCCGACCAAACAATCTAAGACACTTAACATTTCTTTTTAATTTTTGTTAGATTTTCTAAATCAAAGTAGATACTCCTTAGGTTGTAAATTTTGTAAAGAGCATTTTTGAAAGCTTTGCATCAATTAAGCTTTGAATTTATATAATTACGATCTTGTCGAGCGTTCTTTTGAGAATATAATGAAATAGTTAGTCACATTTATTTCATTAATTACTTTAAATATGTAATTATTTACTTAGAGTAATATTTTAATATTAATAAATAAATGAGTCTAAAGATATGTAAGAAGAACTTTAATAAAAACTTAAAGAATATATTTCAGAAATTGAAGAGTAGATAGCTGTAGAATCAACATTATGGCTTTCTGGTACTGATTTTGAACTTTAAATTATAAAAATAAGTATTGAATTTAAATACTAATTCAGAAACGGGTAAAAATTTAATGAAAGCATTTGGAATAGTTACTTCAAATCCTAATTAAAGCCCAGTGAAGAACTTATTGATTCTCTCATTGAGAAAAATATTCAGTTTAATAAACTATCAATTAATTGACTGGAGAATACTAAAAATATCATATAATTTATTTTTTGTCAAATAAAAAATGTATTGATAAAATGAATAGCAACTTTATTCTCTTCAATATTGAATCTAGTTATTAGATTTACTAAGAATTAATATAAAGTTTAATTAATTCTAAAACAATGGATACATAAAAACTAATATTTTATCTTAGAATGTTAGTAATTCTACTCATAAAGTTAGAGAGGCATTAGAATATAACTTAATAATAATTGATACTTTAATTTAAGAACCTTAAATTAATAATTTTATTATTATAAAAATTATAAGTACTCAAAAATAAAGAAATGATAGAAATGCAAAAATAGTTGTTTTCAAATAACCTCACTATCATGTAAAATTCAATAAAGGTTGAAATGAAAAATCTACTCAATAGAATTTAATCACTTGAAAACTCTTTATTCAATCCAATCAAAAGAATGTTTATAATATGATTTTGAAACGTATTTTGATAATATCACAGATATCTCTTAAAAATTGGACATAAGCTTGGTAGTATATTAGTATTCATAATTTAACCAATTACTTTTAATAAGGAAGGATTAAATATTAAAATAAAAGGATGAGAATGATTTAGATCAAATCCATATTGAAATATTAGCATAAGAATATCATCCTGTTTCAGGAAATAAAAATAATAGGAAAATAAGGAGATAATTTCTTATCTTTAAAGAATCTATAATAAGTTAGAAGGAGAAGCAAATGAGTTTTTTTGTTGGATTAAAAAGAAAGAATAAAAGGTGTTATGCTTCAAAAGGAAAAGTAGGTCTGTAAAAAATAAAGAGAAAATGTTATGAAGTTGTGATTAAATAGAACCTAGATTCCAATATATGTATCCCTACCATCATTGAAGGATCTAAAACATAATTTAATTGATTAAGCATTAGAATCGGAAAATTATACTTTGATAGCAAATAAGAGAATTTAAAGAGGTAGAGAATCAAAAAATTTACATATTGTCTTAATTCATGAGAGCTATGATGAAATGAAGTAAGATTGTTTGGAGTGGTTAGTTTAAGAATTTAACATTCATAAATCTGGATTAAATGTTAAAGTATTTAATAAAGTTTATAATCATTATCAGTTTGCTATTCTTCTTTATTTTCTTGAAAAATATATCCGATAGTCTTTAATTAGCAATCTTATTTTATTTTATAGATAGCTCATTTCATCATTTTTAAATGTTAAAATTATTATAACTTTAAGGCAAGTAATACTTAACTCTATTGAATATTAAACTTTGTTATATTGAAAACGCATATCAACTTTAAAAAAAGTTGAGTTTTTGCCTTATAATACAAATTAAAGTAATGAATATTTAACTTAATATTCAAAAGTAAGTGTAAAACGAATTTTATGAGTTTCTAAAGTAATTAAAAGCACAAAGTGTTTTATTTAATGAATTTAATATTATTTGGAATAAAAAAATTGAATAATCTATAAAAAGATATTAATCAAGAATTAAGATAAAAAACAATTATTTTAATCAAAAGATACAGAAAAAATTAAATAAAAGATTTAGCATATTCAATTTTTTTAATTATTTAGAGCTGATTAAATGATACCATTAAACAAAGATTTATTATAATTGTGAAGCTATTAAAAATTTTCTCAAACTATTAAAAAAGTTAAAATACAGCATCTTTTAAATACACCATTTATGTTAGAGATAATAGTTTATGTATATCCAAAGATTTCATCTTTTTTTAATTCGGCTTCATTTATGAGAGAAGTACAACTAATAGTTCTAAATAATAAAGAATTCTTAGATAGATTTATGATTAAATGAGTATATGCTACCTTTTCATTTAATTAACATATATTTTATATTCTGAATCTACTTCATTTTCATTAAAATAGTAACCTTCCCATGAAACTTCTTAATTATCATCAATTTTCAGGTTTTAATTTTAATTTTCCTTTCTATTTATAATTAATTTAAGTCATTTCCCTCAAAGTCATTTCCGCTGCCTAATAAATACAAAAATACTAAAGATCTATTTAAAAGCTTTACTAATTTATTTTTCCCAACTTTCCATTTTTATATTAATTAAGTGTGGTAAAAATCAACAAATATTTTCTAAAAATCAAATGTTATAAATTGATGCAGTTGAAATACTGCTACTATTAAATTAGCATCAAATTTGACTTTAAATTTAACCTTTTTGATTCTCTAAATCCTATAGAATTTAATTATAATATTAATTTAATTCCATTTCGTGTTGCAGAATATATACTTAATTTATTTGAAAAAATACTTGCAACAGAAAAGGATATGGATGAAAAATAAGTGATAAAGAGTCTGTTTAGTAATCGAAATAGATTTAGTTTATCATTAGGGAATTTAGAACTTCTAAAGCCTGGTTCTTTTTTAAATAGCGATTTAAGTAATACAAAGTTCGATAGATTCTTGTAATTTTACATTAGCTAAAATAGAAAATTCAAATTTGACAAATTTAATTTGTAAAGAAATTGCTTCTTTAATTGGACACAAAAAAATGTAAATTCAATTATCTTTATTGAGGATCTTAATTAGTTTCAGGAAGTAAGATGGAATAATTAAATTAGGAAACGTATTTCAAAATTAAAAACAAACTAAAATAGATCAGGCATTACACGCTTCATTAGTAATTAAATAAGAATTATGAATGCTTAAGATTCATCTGATAATAAGTATTAAGTATTAAAATTTTTGAAAAAATAAAAATGATTATATATAAATGTTTTATTATATAATTTCATTCAAATATGACTTCATAAGCTAGATAAGCTCTTCTCACATCCATTTAATATAATACAAATATCTCGCTCTCATTTGATGTGCCTGTAACACAATCATAATCGTCATTCGGTCTTAAAATATTGGGATCAGGATTCCTCAACTCAGTTTTACCAGTTGTAACCAAACAACATAAAAATACTTTCAGTCCAACATATTATTGATCATCATCATATTTTAATTCATAAGAATAATTCCTTGAATAGCAAGCATTTTCTGCAAAATAGATAACAAATATTATTAATTCATTTATACCAGGCCCCCAGCTAGAATTTTTATTACTGTATGAACAATCAAAACCTTCTTTTTCACCCTCATAAATCTTTTTAGGATGTTCGTTTTTTACTCCATGCCATAAAAATCTCTTTCTTTCTATTTTATTTAAATTGTAACCTTGACTTTAATAAAGCTCTATTAATTTATTTCTTTCATTAACATAGTTATTCCATAATATTTTATTTTAAATTCTAAAGATAGCTTTTATATTTCCAAAATCAGATTAACAAAAATGATTTTAGACCTTAATGAATTCCAAAGAGGACATATTCAAAGGTACTTTGACACAATTATCATTTTAAGATATCCATTTTTTGGGATAATTTTTGCCAAAATTCTCAATAAACCCTATCTAATTTAAAAATTTGCTTTAATTCTTTTTGAAAATTTCAATGACAATCTTTTTTCCTTATGTAAAATCTTCAATTTTATTCAATGCAACTTAATCAAAATAATTATATAAATTTTTTAATTTATCTTTCTTTATTTGTGGAATTTATATATTTAATTTAATAACAGATTTTTAGAACTCCTCTTTTAATTTTTATAATATTTTATCATTCTATTTTGAATTAAATGATTCAATTTAAAATTGATTTTCTTGGCTTTAAGATGAATTAATAGAATCAGAAAATTTAAAGTTTTCACCAAATAAAATGGTACTCTAAATTTTTCTAATTTATCTTGAATAATTTGTCTGTAAATTTATTTAGTTTATATAATATTGGTTAATGATAACAAGCAAACATTTCCAAAAAATGTCGAATTCAAAACAATTATTTTTTTTCTATTAACATAAATATTAATTTAATTCACTTTCAATCTATTCTCCATTAATAAAATATTGTTCAACTCCTCTATTATATGTAACAGTTAATTTATATTAATATAAAATTTTTTATCTTTTAAAGTTAATCTTTTCAAATTAACTGAATGTGTACTTGAAGGCTAATTAAAATTTTATTTCAATAAAACTCTTGTTTCATTATTTGTTTATAAAAATGACTGATATGCTTCATTTATTTATTCATTATTTTATTCATTATAGTTCTCATAACCTTAGTCATCTTACCATTACCATTAAAATTATCCATATTAGGATGAAGATAGATTCTAATTAAGGCCTTATTTATTATATCGGTTTTTTAGGGATTATTTTCTGTTATATATATTTTCCGTTACAAGTTTTTTGCTTCAAAAAATTTATTAATTATAATTTGTAAATACTGTTAAACTATTTCTTCTTTTCCTTGAATATCATCTTAGAAAAATAATGGAATAGCTAAACTTTTTATTTAAGAATTATCTTTTATTCTTTCAAAGAGTTTTTCTATACATTGTTTGAGATTATTGTAATTATAATTCTGAAGGGAATTTAATTTGATATTAATAATAAACCGAATATGAGAAAATTGCTCCATTTCAATAATTTCTACTTCAGAAGTATCCTCCAAACTCTAAAATTTGATTAACTAATTATCTCAAACTAGTATTAGGATGATTAGAAAAATTGACAATTGCATCACATTCTAATTATTTGATATCAGCATGTAAAATCTATAATAATTTATTACCCAACTCTAATTCAGATATGATTTTGTAATAATTTTTTTAAAATTTAATAAATATATTATTTTCCTCTTCTAAATTATTCTTACAAAAATCTTTTAAATTTTTTTCAATAAATTTTGTTCGTTTTTCTTAAAATATGTAGAGCTTTTTTTGGATTCGTTATTCAAGCTATTTCATTTCTGTAGAGAGGTTTTCACACTTATTTTTTATTATCTATTAATTAAGTGAACAAAGAGTTATGTTAAAGTCTCTTAAATAATTAATTTATATATCTTTATTATCGAACAATCCTTAGTCGTTTTATTGTTATTTTNCTCTATTATATGTAACAGTTAATTTATATTAATATAAAATTTTTTATCTTTTAAAGTTAATCTTTTCAAATTAACTGAATGTGTACTTGAAGGCTAATTAAAATTTTATTTCAATAAAACTCTTGTTTCATTATTTGTTTATAAAAATGACTGATATGCTTCATTTATTTATTCATTATTTTATTCATTATAGTTCTCATAACCTTAGTCATCTTACCATTACCATTAAAATTATCCATATTAGGATGAAGATAGATTCTAATTAAGGCCTTATTTATTATATCGGTTTTTTAGGGATTATTTTCTGTTATATATATTTTCCGTTACAAGTTTTTTGCTTCAAAAAATTTATTAATTATAATTTGTAAATACTGTTAAACTATTTCTTCTTTTCCTTGAATATCATCTTAGAAAAATAATGGAATAGCTAAACTTTTTATTTAAGAATTATCTTTTATTCTTTCAAAGAGTTTTTCTATACATTGTTTGAGATTATTGTAATTATAATTCTGAAGGGAATTTAATTTGATATTAATAATAAACCGAATATGAGAAAATTGCTCCATTTCAATAATTTCTACTTCAGAAGTATCCTCCAAACTCTAAAATTTGATTAACTAATTATCTCAAACTAGTATTAGGATGATTAGAAAAATTGACAATTGCATCACATTCTAATTATTTGATATCAGCATGTAAAATCTATAATAATTTATTACCCAACTCTAATTCAGATATGATTTTGTAATAATTTTTTTAAAATTTAATAAATATATTATTTTCCTCTTCTAAATTATTCTTACAAAAATCTTTTAAATTTTTTTCAATAAATTTTGTTCGTTTTTCTTAAAATATGTAGAGCTTTTTTTGGATTCGTTATTCAAGCTATTTCATTTCTGTAGAGAGGTTTTCACACTTATTTTTTATTATCTATTAATTAAGTGAACAAAGAGTTATGTTAAAGTCTCTTAAATAATTAATTTATATATCTTTATTATCGAACAATCCTTAGTCGTTTTATTGTTATTTTAAAGAATTAAAAATAATCTAATTTGGACATTTAATACATTCTTTGATAATTTTTTCTTTTTTTGATTATTTAATTTAAACCAATAATTATTTAATTTAGTTTAAATTTTCATTATTGCCAATAAAACAATATTCTCTATTCATTTTTGATACAACTATTTAATATTCTTCTTAAAATTGCCTTTTTGTCTTTCTTAAAAAACTTAATATATCTAAAATTTCAATATCTTCTTAGTAAATATTTAATTAATCAAAAAATTGTTCTTAAAGTTACTAAGATATTTAACTGATTTCTATTTAGTTATCAAAGTAGACTTCGACTTTAAATTTTAACCCTTTTATGTCAATATCAACTATCTTGATTAAACATTTTCCAAATTTTTGGGATATTTTAACAAATGTTTATTTATAAAGTTCATCAAATTTTTATTTATTTTTAATTACTTATAAAATTTTTTCTTGAGAATTGAAATAAATGCTTTAAAATTAATAATTATTTAGATCCTAAATAATAATTTATTCTTTTTTATTAATTAAATCTTGCTCTCCTTTAATACGCAAATTCAATTCTTGTTAAATAGACCAATTTTCTTTTTCATCATCATTATGATATTGATTAAGGAAATTATTCCATAACTTAATTTTATTTCTATCAAAGATCTTCAGTTCCAAACATGGGAAAAAAATTTTGAGTATTTGCTCTTTCATTTTCTAAAAATTCTATTATATTTGACAAATTTTTATATTTTCATCATTTAATTATTCCATTTCGGCTTGGAAAACATAATTTTTGTTACTCTCTATTTTAACTATTGGTTCTTTAATAATGATATTAAAATTGCCAACCTCTTCTTATAATTATTTGACTTTTGATTAAATAACTTTTAAATCAGGTTTATTTTCAAGTACTATTTCAAATAGGTCGTTATTTAGTTGATATTTTCGAGAATTTTATACAAACTGATTAAATTACTATTAAATTTAATAGATTTTATCTTTTAAATCTCTTTAAGCAAGAAGGATAATCTATGTTGAGTTTTATTTTAAAATCTCTGCCTATTTTTTCAACTCTGGATAGTATTCAAAATTATTAAGACAAATGTTAGATGAAAGGAATACTATAATTTCTTTTAAATTTAATGATTAGCACAACTTTTATTAAATTGATTAATAATTTAATATATTTAGAATTTAAGAAGCTTCAACATGTGATTGTAAGTTATATGTTAAAATAATGGTATGATCCAATCTATTTTTAAATTTATCAAAAAATTTGTTTGATTCTGTTTGATTCAAACTGAATTTAGGTCTTATTATATATTAGTATGATTAGTCATCCAGTTTAAATTAAATGTCTTTTTGGAGTGCCTCAACAATATATTCAGAAACTACTTCTTCTTAAATGTAGACCATTTTTTATTTTGAGGAAATGTTGTTACCTGTTTATTCTTACATTGTATAAACTTTTTAATTAGAATTTGTATCCGTTTAATTAGGTTTTTGCTTTTACCCACTTCTATTGATTGATATATTTAAATCTTTGTATTCTTATTAAATGTGATCTACTTAATTCTAGTTAACATTAGATATTTTTATTTCTATATCTACTTCAGCATAATCAAAAAATTCATTTATTAAATTACAACATAAGATTTTAATATCTTAAGAATTTTCATTTTTATTTTTTGAAAATTCTACTAAAAATGTTTATAAATTTGATGTTAGATTTTCGTTATAATTTAGTTTGAGTTCTTGATCCTACTCAACAATTTTATCTGGTTAATAATTTTGAGCTTTTGAAGTTTTCTTGATTACCCTTTTATTATTGTGATATGGAATTTATTTTTAGATTAATTACTATTCTTTATTATTTTCATATCGTTATCGTTATCGTGTTAAATTAATTTATTTCCCCACCTCTTTAGTAGATTTGTGATCAAATCCTAATTTAGTAACACTTTCATTATAAGCTAACTAAAAATGTTCTAAACATTTATCTATCTGATTTAAACCTAAATATGCTTAACCCATATTATTATATGAATTTATTAAAAAAGTACCTTTACCAGATAATACTAATTACTCAGAATATTTTAGAGCTTCAATCCAGTTATTTTATTCTAAGTATAGGTCTGATAAGTTTTTCAATGATTAGGAAGGATTAAATTTGTGCATCATAGCTATTTCAAGAGCATATTTAAACTGTTTTTCTTTTTAATTAAGGTTAATCTAAGTACATCCTCAAGTTAGTTAATTAATACCTAAAATATTATAAGCTTAATATTTATATTAAGGACAGACCTAATGAGCAATAATCCACTCACAAACTTTTTTTCTGGTAGTATTATCAGAACCTTTTGCTTACTCAAGTAGTAATTAGGCCTATTCATTTTAAAATCCTTAATTTAATTCCTTTTTCGCTTCTTCCATTTTCAAACCAAAAAGTTTTAAAGCGAGATCTATATTATTAATAATATTTTAATATTATAAGATATATAGAACTTTAGAAAAATATAAAAATAATTCTATTTTCCATTAACAACTAAATTCTTTATTATAAGTTTTAGAAGACCTAAAAATGGAATTAACAATTCAAAATTTTATTTTTCTCTACTCAAACCTAATAGTTTTAATACTTATCATATAATTAAAGAAAAATAACACCCAAAATTTTAAAATTATATAATTGTTATATAAATTATTATGCAAACTTTTTGAATATTAAATAATCAGAGGTTAAATCAAATTGACTTGTCCAAGTATTGTATAATTATCTTCAAGACTGGCCATAAACCCTTAATTTTCAATTCATCCGCCCTCTCCAAATCTATAGCCTAGAGGTATAAAACTGATTTTTATTATTCTATTTTTTTCTTTCTATCTCATAAGATTAGCTTCTTATTTTTTATGTGATCATTTTATTTGGTAATCCTCGATAAAATTTGAAATCTAAATATATTAAAGGAGAAGCTAAAATAAGTTTTACTAAACTAAATGATCATCGTCTAATAATTTCTAGTTTTACATTCATAATAATTCTTCTTGTCTAAATATTATATTTCATACATAAAAAGTTAGTCTATTTTTTTTAAATTTGATCATTATTTTCTTGATTTTACTCTAAAAATATAAACCTCTACTTTTAGGTTAAACTTAAGTAACTGTAATATGTTAAAATCCTCCTCACCTTTCTATTCATCATATCTTCCTATTCCACTGGTATATTATCATTATAAAATACATTTTATCAAATATTTCCTAGAATTTATAATAAATATCCCATTAACTCACTCTTTTAACTTCTTTATCTGAACCAAAAAAGTCAAAAGAACTAAAATAAAAAAGAAAATTTTAAACCCTTCACGTTCAATCCATTTTCCAATTTTTTTAATATATGTTCATATTAATTATTTTTCCTTATTCAAGTGTCTTGAAAAATCTCATAATTTCCATATAAGTAGATAGATAATTGCTCCCATACACTTTAATTAATTAAATATTAATTAATGAAGATTAAATATATTTATAAAAGAATTTATATATCTTTTCACTAGTCCTCCTCAAAAAAAAATAAATCTGAAAAATTACTATTTAAATAATAAATTCAAATAAATACAAGAGTTGGTATTTTAATTAGAAAAATATGATGTCTAAAAGTTAGATTTAATAAGTATATTATTTAGTATTGTTTTTAATTGCTAAAAATAGTTAAGATAAATAATCATATTTAATCTATAAATCTAAATTTATCCTAATCAGACATTTAGATGAATATAATCTTGCTGCTAGGTTGGCTGTAAATTAATCAAAAGAAGTGAAAAATTTTTAAGAGGAATCTCTAAAAATCAAAAAAGATGAGAGCCTTATCACTTAACATTTATTCTTAGTTTTTTCTACGAACAATATTATTCTATACAAATGTATATATATTACATTAACTAAATATTTTGAACAAGGATTAAATTTTCAATGATGAGAAAGATATTATGAAGGAGATCTTGACTTAATTATATCAGACATAAGTTTAAATATTTTATTTGTTTTTTTTAACTCTCTAGTTTTTTTGGTTCTATTTATAAAATATTATCTATTACAAATACAAGGTGAATTTTCTTCAATTAGTAGAACTATACAATCTTTTGAAGATGACTTAAGAAGGTCATCAAATATTTTTTAAATTTAATTAAGATTTATATATCTGATTGAAATATTACAATATAATTTAATCATGTTTTTATATATATTTTTATTATTCAATAATTTTTAGATTTTTTCATTAAATTTATTCTACATTCATAATATTGAAAAATTGAAACTAATAAAAGAAATAGAAATCCCTTTTCATTATGTAATGTATTTATATTCAAATAGAATATACAGTTTATCTAATATATAAATAAATGTATACGTTCATTTTTTTCTAATTTTATTATAAAATTGATTCCATTTTATATGTATTATTTTTTATTATTATTAAACTCTTATTTAAATATTAGTAATAATTATTAATCTAATGGATAGAAAAAGCAATCATGATCACGCTGACTTTTTTTAAGATAATACTTTTTGATATATAATAATATAATTCAATATTTTATTTTTCTATTATTTTAAATTAATGACATTGTTAATATTTTTTGCCCTGGTTTGCTTGATTTCAATAACTTATGCATAATGGTAATTATAATATGGTTTCTTATACTAAAATTAGAAATTTACTTATCACTCTGGAACTTTGATATATAAATATTCAGGATACTTTGTTTCGTCAACAAATACTGAAACTGCTTATTTTATCACTTGCACAACTCCTCCAACAAGTTACATAACTCTAAATAACGCAAATTTAGTAGCACAATATTATTTATCCTATTCTTACAAGAATGGTTATTTTGTATCAGTGGATTTATATTTTCAAGGTACATGGTCAACTTAAGATGTAACCTTTGTTTTTGGGTCATTTTCATACTCATATACATATACATCACCTCCAACTTATTCATTGACAACATAATTTTGTGACAACATTATTGCTGAAGTAAGAACTGTCAACTTCACAATTATTACAGCGGGCTCTACTTAAGGCAAAACTTAAGTATATGTCTCAAACACCACTACTGGATAAGTTTCAATTAGAAATTTTTATATATCAAGTCCACAATGCTATCCTTCATGTGTGTCTTGTACAGGTCCAAAATTTAATCAATGCACAGGATGTTATTATGGATCGCCTACAAATAACATCTGTCCACCTTGTCCATCAAATTTATATTATTAGAAAATTGTTGGATGCATGAATATTTGTGATATCTCCTCACCATTATATTAGAAGGGATTTTGTTAAAATTTTGGAAGTAAAAATTATTATTATATTAAAATAATAGTTCAATCTTTAGAATATGGTAGCTTTGAGGAAGCATTTTCCTCTGAAAATTATAAATGGTCATTAATATATGACCCAAAGCATATAGATACATCTCCAACTATCATCAGATTGAATTCATATAATTATGGAGTATTTAAGTTTAGTTCTGGTATATATAGATTTTTTAACAAAATATCTTCTTATTCCTATTCAACTTACTTAATTGGAATCAAAATTTCTATATTCACATATAATCAAATTCCTATTGATTGTGGAATATAATTTAAAATTAATAATACTTATTTTGGATCAATTTATAGAAATGACTCTGGAATTCAAACACATAAATTAATAGTCTATGAAAACACATATTCAGGTTCATATACAACTTATTAATCGATTAGAAGATATGATTTAATTACATATGTTGATATTCCTTAATACTCATTTATATTTTCTGCAGTAGGGAATTATACGTAAATATTATATGTAAATATCATAGAGATGATACTGCAGGATGGGGAATGGTTTCATTCTAAATTACTTCAGGATATTGTCCTCAAAATTGTTTATTGTGTGAAGTACCATTTAAATGTCAAACTTGCACCTCTGGATATTATATTAATAAAGGTATTTGCATAAGCAATTGTTCAGGCGCAAATTAAAAATTAAATGGTTCTTCTTATTGTTAAGATTTTGATGATGAAACATTATGTAAAATATAACGATAGATATTTTTAGACTCTTATTATTTAGTTTAAGAATATACAAATAAAGCTGGTGATCTTGATTAGTATGCCTAATATTAATTAATATATGAAATCGGAACCAACTTTTTAAAAGGTTTAGATATTTATTATTCATATTGGTAATCATTTCGAGTTTTTGGAGGACCTTTTGTTTGGGCTTAAGCAAAATTCGAAAGGGTTCATCACATAATTGATCCACATCATAGTGTAACTATTAGCTTTTTTATCCTTTATGGGCCATCATTCCCTACAGATGGATATTTTATATACACAATTGAGAATAATCCATCTGTTTTTAAAAATGCACAAAGTTTTTATTCATCTTAATCAGATGGAACTAAACAGGACAAAGTATATTAAGTATTATCACATAATACAAATACATTAACTATGTAATGGGAATGTTTGGGACTTAATAATGAACCAATTAATGCTTATTGTGGATTCTATAATTATTTTATAGTTGTTCATTAATGTTAACCTTATTGCTTATAATGTTCTGATTAAAGTACATGTACATAATGGAATAGTACTTATGATTCGACAATTGTATAATTTTCATAATCAGAATGTTTGCTTAACTAATATTATGATTAAGATTCAATTAGATGTTTGGATTGTCCATTATCTTGTTAAACATGTACATCTTAATTAAATTGTTAAACATGTTCATCTAATTATACTTTAAGTAAATTAGGATGTACATGTACATTAAACGAATATGAAGAATCAAATTAATGTTTTGATTGTCCTATTGAATGTAATTAATGTTTAAGTTCTACTCATTGTATAGAATGTTTAATTACTAATAATAGATAGTTATAAAATGGGTAATGTATATGTTTCGATGGATATTATCCAATTATATCAAATCCTTAATGTTAAATATGTCATTAATTTTGTAACACTTGCACTGGACCCAATTCTAATTAGTGTTTAAGTTGCAAAGATATTGCTAATATTCAACTTGAAGAAACAACTTGTCGATGTCAAGCTGGAACATACTTTTAAGATTCAATAAAAGCATGTTCTCCATGTCATTTATCATGTTAAACATGTTTTAGTTCTGGTGTTAATGATTGCTTAACATGCAATTCTTCTCTTAATCGATTTTTAAAAGGATTAAGATGTGAATGTTAATCTGGCTATTATGAATTAAATAATATTTGTACAAGTATTTAAAATTAATGATAATAATAGCTTGTCCAATTACAGAAGATACANTAAGCAATTGTTCAGGCGCAAATTAAAAATTAAATGGTTCTTCTTATTGTTAAGATTTTGATGATGAAACATTATGTAAAATATAACGATAGATATTTTTAGACTCTTATTATTTAGTTTAAGAATATACAAATAAAGCTGGTGATCTTGATTAGTATGCCTAATATTAATTAATATATGAAATCGGAACCAACTTTTTAAAAGGTTTAGATATTTATTATTCATATTGGTAATCATTTCGAGTTTTTGGAGGACCTTTTGTTTGGGCTTAAGCAAAATTCGAAAGGGTTCATCACATAATTGATCCACATCATAGTGTAACTATTAGCTTTTTTATCCTTTATGGGCCATCATTCCCTACAGATGGATATTTTATATACACAATTGAGAATAATCCATCTGTTTTTAAAAATGCACAAAGTTTTTATTCATCTTAATCAGATGGAACTAAACAGGACAAAGTATATTAAGTATTATCACATAATACAAATACATTAACTATGTAATGGGAATGTTTGGGACTTAATAATGAACCAATTAATGCTTATTGTGGATTCTATAATTATTTTATAGTTGTTCATTAATGTTAACCTTATTGCTTATAATGTTCTGATTAAAGTACATGTACATAATGGAATAGTACTTATGATTCGACAATTGTATAATTTTCATAATCAGAATGTTTGCTTAACTAATATTATGATTAAGATTCAATTAGATGTTTGGATTGTCCATTATCTTGTTAAACATGTACATCTTAATTAAATTGTTAAACATGTTCATCTAATTATACTTTAAGTAAATTAGGATGTACATGTACATTAAACGAATATGAAGAATCAAATTAATGTTTTGATTGTCCTATTGAATGTAATTAATGTTTAAGTTCTACTCATTGTATAGAATGTTTAATTACTAATAATAGATAGTTATAAAATGGGTAATGTATATGTTTCGATGGATATTATCCAATTATATCAAATCCTTAATGTTAAATATGTCATTAATTTTGTAACACTTGCACTGGACCCAATTCTAATTAGTGTTTAAGTTGCAAAGATATTGCTAATATTCAACTTGAAGAAACAACTTGTCGATGTCAAGCTGGAACATACTTTTAAGATTCAATAAAAGCATGTTCTCCATGTCATTTATCATGTTAAACATGTTTTAGTTCTGGTGTTAATGATTGCTTAACATGCAATTCTTCTCTTAATCGATTTTTAAAAGGATTAAGATGTGAATGTTAATCTGGCTATTATGAATTAAATAATATTTGTACAAGTATTTAAAATTAATGATAATAATAGCTTGTCCAATTACAGAAGATACATCTTTAACTAAATGTTATAAATTATGTAATAATAATTAAAATATATGGCATACTATTGCATGTAATTCGTGTGATATAGGGTTTCAATTAGTATTAGGAGAATGCGAACCTATTTGTGGAGATTCATTAATAAAAGGATATGAATAATGTGAAAATAATGGCGGTCTTATAGATAATTTATGTTATAATTGTTAATTTCAATGTTCAGCTCATTGTTAAACTTGTGATGAATAAACTACTTGGCCATGTCCTGATATATGTGGTGATGGATATATTACTGGTAATGAAGAATGCGATGATGGTAATACAATTTAATATGATGGATGTTATAATTGTAAGTATCAATGTGAATTTACATGTACAAAATGTATTAAAGGAGAGTGTTTTGAATGTGCTGAAGGATGGATTATTAATCCAACAATTATTCCTTGGAAATGTGAAGAAAAATGCGGAGATAAAATGATAGTTGGAAATGAATATTGTGATGATGGAAACACTAATAATTAAGATGGATGCTCAAATTGTTAGTTTCTCTGTAGAATTGGTTGTTCATCTTGTGATGAAAGTAAATAAACATGTTTAAGTTGTGAGTTACCTGGCTTTACTCCATACTCTTATTATTGCAAAAATATTTGTGGAGATGGAATAGTAGTATCAGATCCTCAAGGATTCTTCTCAGAACAATGTGATGATAGTAATACAGTAAATAATGACGGTTGTAATAATAATTGTTCATTTTAATGTTAATCATCATCTATTTGCATTAGTTGTATTAATAATAGATGTGAAACTTGTGCTTCTTAATATTTTCTGTCTCCCAATAAAATATGTATTCCTCTTTGTGGTGATTCAATTTAACTACCTGGAGAGATTTGTGAAGATGGTTTAATATTACCATATAAAGGATGTTAAAATTGTATTCCTAAGTGTTAATATTCTTGCATTAATTGTGATACTTCAGGACTTGGTTGTCTATAATGTAAACCAGGCTACAATATAATTGATAATTTATGTTATTCTATTTGTGGAGATAGAATAGTAACAGATGATGAATAATGTGATGATAGCAATCTAATTTTAGGTGATGGATGTCATTTTTGTGAATTTAGTTGTTAAGATTCATGTTTGAATTGTGTTTAAGGTGTTTGTTAAGATGGTTATGATTTAATATCATCTGAGTTTTATGCAATCTTTGGAGATGAAATTTGGATTAATAATTAATAATGCGAAATGATCAATTCATGTAATATATGTTTGAATGGAATATGTCAATCATGTGAAATTAATTATGAATTAGATTAATTAAATAATTCATGTAAGTTAATACAATTGATATAACCTAATTGTAAAATGTTAGATAATGATTAATGTATATAATGTTAAGTTGGATATCTAGATTTAATTACAAATACTTGTATAATTGATAATAAAATGAATTAATGTTCAAAAAATTGTAAATAATGCTTACTATAGAAATGTATAGAATGTGAATAGGGATATTATGGAAATAAATGTATTTCTAAATGTGGGGATGGTATTATAGTATAGGAAGAAGAATGTGATGATGAAAATTAATATGAGGTAGATACATGTCTAAATTGTAAATATTAATGTCCTCAATATTGTACATTATGTGCTTAAGGAATTTGTACTCATTGTTTTGTTGGATTCTATTTGGATATTGTAACTAATTCATGTAGTTCAATTTGCGGTGATAAAATACTGGCACATGATGAAGTTTGTGATGATGGTAATGAATTCAGATATGATGGATGCTTCAAATGTAATTACTAATGCCAAATGGAATGCTTGAATTGCTAATTTGGAAAATGCATGGAATGTGAATCTCCTTTAGTAGCTGTAAAATCAAAAGGTATTTGTGAATAATTAAAATAATGTGAAGGTTTAATTGGATTATATTATGATGATTTTTGTAATGATTGTTTGCCATAATGTGGAGATGGTATTGTTGCAGGCACTGAACAATGCGATGATTAGAATAATACTCCTTATGATGGATGTTATGAGTGCAAACATTAATGTTAAATTGGTAATTTACTTTATTAAACTTCTTGTATTCCTATTTGTGGAGATGGAATTGTAATTGATGAATATGAAGAGTGCGATGATTAAAATGATTAACCGTATGATGGATGTTTTGAATGCTAATTTTAATGTATATAAAATTGTCTAATTTGTTAAAAAGGATCATGTCTTTAATGCGATATAGATTTTTCCTTCAAAAATAATTAATGTTTGTTCAATATCTAATATGATAATCTTAATATTAGCATAATTGAACAATCATAAAGTAATAATTACACAATTATAAATACTAAAAATTCACGAGAGTTGTTTTTTTATGAAAATAGTGTATGCCGAAAATCTGATTGTGTTTACTCTAAAAAACCTAGCATGAAACTAACATTTAAAGATTAATAATATGCTCTTTATTATATTGAAATTACATATAATTAAGAAGTAAAATATAGTGATTAAGTAATATAAGACTAAAACTTATTTAATATAAGCATTAGGGACTTGAATCATAATAATTATAACATCACAATCAATGAAATTTAAGAAATGTCATTAGATCTTTAATATGCTTAGTATTAAATTTTGATTGAAATATTTTCATAGCCTTAAACAAACCCAGTTCTTTTAGTTTAGTTGAATCAAGAAATTGTTAACGAAAATAATTAAACAATTATTAATCTTAATGAATCAATCACCCTCTAATACCCAAAAATAATATCTAAATTAACAAAATCAATTTCTATAAGTACTTAAAAAACAAATAAAATATTTATGATAGGAGCAATTTCTCTATCTGTGATTTCTTTGGTTACTGGTGAAAGTTAGATTGTAGTAGAAACACTGAATCTTTTATAATATCAATAATACTTAAGATTTATTAATGTAGACTACCCAGAGAATCTCTAAATATATTTTTAAGCATATGATTTGTTATCTATAGAGTCTTATTTAAAAGTTTTTGAAATCGATGACTATGTAGATCTTATAACAAGAAAAGAAAAATAAATCGATCTGAGTGGAAAATTTAAATTATATAATATAGAAGCTGATCTTTTTACCAATATTCTACCATAACTGATTTAGATTTTAGGATTGATAACACTACCTTTTGTTGCAAAAAAAATTTATGCTATATTTTTTTATATAACTGAATATATGAAATAGTTGAAGCAAGAAAAAACTTTAAAATCTAAGATTTTAATTTCAATCCTTACTTCATTACTAAGTCTAAGAAGATGTATCAAATCATTAATGAAATTAAGATATCTATAAAATTAAGACAACTCTTATACATTAATTCTTGGGATTTAATATTTAAAGTGATTTTATAACTTTATTATAATTAAATAAATAATTTGAGGAGTATTTTAACATCTATTTTTGCAACTCTAATATTATTGATGTGCATTAGCTTTTAATTAAAATCATTAATTTAATTCAATAATGTTAAATATAAATATATTCAACCAAAGTTAGAAATAAAATACATTATTTTAGATATTTTCAGAGCAATGTTTTTCCATACAGTATTAATATTATTGTAAGATGAATATACCTTGCAATGCTTATTTATATCTGTCAGCAGTTTTATTTAATGTTGCTTAATCTATAAATATAAATAGTGTTCTAAATTAGATAGGATTATATTCTTATTAGTTGAAGGAATTTTAACATTATTTAGTTTAAGCTTATTTTTATATTTTAATATTCCTCAGATTTAGTTTTCTTATGAAAACAAAGTTATTTTAGGATTCATTTAGATGAGCTTTTTGATTTTGAGTCTTGTAATAGTTTTTTTAAAGCAATTATATCCTAAATTATAACATATTTTGAAATTAATTTGGTAAAAAAAAGGAAGTGGTAGTAATAACTAGTGACATATTTCATTATAAATAATTTATATTATCATCAAATGATCATAATAATTATAATTATAGAGTATAATAGATAAATAATAAATAATCATCATTAAGGTTAACGATAATAATCTATAATTCTTTAAACTTTTGATTTATCCTCTATTTTTTTTCTTCATCTACTTTTCTTAATGATTCAACATTTTACTGTTATTTCCCTTTTCTTAGCTCAAAATTTAGTTTTATTAATTGTAATATCTTCTTATCTAGATTTATCTCTTTAATTTAAAACCTTGATACTTCTATGGACAATAATGCAATTTTATTTTTATAATCTTCAATCTAACTAAAGTTAATTATCAATATTTAATTTTCCTGAGAATGCATCATATTACTTTTATAAAATTTAGAATTATTTTTAGATCATTCATTATGTTTTATTGGAAGATAGTTTCAGAAGTAAATCGAGATTTGAAAAATTAATCTGATTGAGATTAATATAATGATTTTTTTTTCGCTTAACTAATTGATCAAATTTATATGTATTTATTCCATTTCTTCAATTTTATTTTATGATACTTATAATTCTTATTTTAATATAATTATTTTTGTTCTTTTTCATGAATTACTTTCCTTAATTTATTATTTAATTAATCTATTTATTTTATTTCACATTTTTATTTTTATTCAGAATTTTAAATAGTGCTTTCTAATTATCTAATTTGCTAATCCTAAATAGTTACTTATTATTTTATTTAACATATTCCTGCATTCTTATTTTCATAATTTTAAATTAAATTTATCAATTTATTGAGACTTGTAATCTAATTGGGAGCTTTTTTCATAAAATTATTAATTTATTTACTAAAATTATCTTAATAATTTATTATTATTAATTTAAATATCTTCTATAATTGAGGATTTCTATATTCATTTTAAAAATATTTTCTTAAATTTACTATTTATA